TGTGACCTCATAAGATTTTCCCCTTCCTTTATTCAATTTCATTAAATTATTTGTCATCAATGATTAACTCATTTTAACAAATCTACTTGCAGATAATGAAAACCTCAGTAAAGTAATCACTTTTCTAAGGGAGATAAAACTTTGACCTTATTTAGAGTGATACAATGAATAGGATCCGTTGGCTTAATAACCTTTGCCACATGCATTAGGTTGATAGCCAAAAATCCAACAAAAGAAAAAGAAAAGACAAGAAAAATTTATTCACTGGTGACTGAGCACTTGTGGAGCCATGTATGTGTATAGACATTTCATAAACTAAATTCACTATGGGCATGGCATGTTCATACATACCATCCCTGGCAGCATCAAGTTAATAAGATTCCTTGGGCAGCACCACCTGCCAAATATTATTTCAGATTTTATAACAGTAATGGAACGTGACAAGAAACTTGCAGTGGCTTGTCAGAGCTCTAGAAAAGATGTCATTGGGACTCAAAAACAAACATTTGATTAGGCTATACAACAGACAAACTTATGTTATGTTATGAGCATGGTAACCATTATGTTAAACTTTTTATAATCTCTAGGTATATATTTACATATGATGTCATAATCATACCTTTGTTACTTATTCCATTATTACTAGTACCCACGTATCTTTTATATGATATATATATATCATCTTTGTAATTGGGCATGAGCAAGTGCGAAATCAAAGGGATTGGCAGTTGCTAGAAAAAATGTCCTATTCAGTATAAAACTGATATATAAAAGCAAGCGGGGAGCTGGTCGCTCCTGCTCACTCAGTAATAGCTTTACGGATCTGAAGGATGTTCAAATTTATGGCTGAGTGTAAAACCCTATAAAAGACGAAAGAAGAAGAAATTTATAGCAACGTTAAAAAATTGTTTATTCTACTTTTTTTCACATAATATCTTGTGTGATGTTTGCTTTTTCCAACTTATTCTTAATTGGAATGTGTATAGATAAAGAAAAAAACTAATATAAGTCAAAGAATATATATATACTGAAAACATGTGATCAGTGTTCTGTGCATGCTTGGCGAAACACACAAGGTAGTGGCAGTATCGACAGAAGAAGATACCACTCTGAATTAGTTTCGGTTAGGTTAAATTAGGTTAAGTTCAGTTCGTAGTTATTACCTGGAAATATGCATGTATGTGATGTACACCTAACCACAAGAAATCGGATACAGCTGCCTTATGTGTAACACCAACCAAAAAAATATTTGAGTGAAGTAAAAGTATGCTTATATTCACTAATTAAAGTCTGGTAATCTACTTATTAAGTGATGCTGTGTCTCTACTCTTTACACTCCAGGAAGTCACCAAAGGCATAAATTTTACAAAGACAGCGCTTGTGGACCTCCATGACAATCCTGAGTCAGATGGAGGGGCCATGCCATCACTCGATTTAGATCTAGATGTCTATCAAATTTCAGAAGAGCATGTTCTTTTTTGGGGGGAGGGGAAGGTGCACTGATAAATATGTTGGAAACAATTTTTGCTTAACAGAAACTATTCACACTTATACTTTTCAGATGTTTTGTTAAGTGAGGCTCCAATAAAAGCCAAGTTAGGTCAGGTTAGGTTTCATTCCAGTTTGGTTAAGGTATAATAAGACTTACAATTTGCTTTTAGCTTTCAAGCTGAAGAAACTTAAATTCTATTAAGATCTTGCTAGGGTAGACAGCATTGTTTTTATTTTTGATTAGACTGTTAGGTCATACAAGGGCTATATTGTTTAGTTTTGGTTTGGCTATGCTGTGCCATGTTTATGTTGTTTTGTTTGTTTGGACAAGGTGAGGTTTTACCTAGATTTAGGATATGTTCAATAAAAAAAAATTCTCTTAATTCTCACAGGCCTGTTTGAAATATTCATAATCTTGAAACACTAATAAGAAGAGAAAAGGTTTTATTCTGTATAAACACACAAAACGAAGCAAAACGACAGTATTTAGAATGTAATCAACCTGTAAACACGGGCAGGAACATTACAAAAGAACACGAGAATAAGAATCTTAAGAAATTGGAATAGAAAGGTATTCCATGCGGCTTGTCATGCGATCAGCTGATTGGGCGTCATGGAGAACACATTCCCTTACCCTTTGGTCATAAAACACTCGTAACTTGGAGCTCCTGGCTTGTAACTCTGTCAAAATATCGTAGATTGAACTATCATCAGGTGTTGCTGGCTTTCTTCTGATTTTCAATAGTGCTTCGGCTAAATCATTCCATTTCTGGCGGTTTTCTGATGCATGGTCCATGGTGGCCGGTCGCTGTGCTCTCTCTCTCTCTCTCTCACTCTGCCTCATACACCTACACATTCTCTCTCTCTCTCTCTCTCTCTCTCTCTCTCTCTCTCTCTTCTCTCTCTCTCTCTCTCTCTCTCTCTCCTCTCTCTCTTCTCTCTCTCTCTCTCTCATCTCTCCTCTCTCTCTTCTCTCTCTCTTCTCTCTCTCTCTTCTCTCTCTCTCTCTCTCTCTCTCTCTCTCTCTCTCTCTCTCTCTCTCTCTCTCTCTCTCTCTCTCCTCTCTCTCTCCTCTCTCTCTCTCTCTCTCCTCTCTCTCGCTTCTTCCTCTCTCTCTCTCACCTCTTCTCCTCTCTCCTCTCTCTCTCTCTCTACTCTCTCTCTCTCTCTCTCTATCTATATATATATATATATATATATATATATATATATATATATATATGTAGTGTGTGTGTGTGTGTGTGTGCGTGTGTGTGTGTGTGCGTGTGTGCTCAATGATTCACTTAGCTGACAACTTGAGGAAGCAGGAACCGACTATCGGATAGTTTGTTCAAATTGTGCGAATCCCTACTTAATGAAGATTCATATTTACGGAGATACATATACCTAGAAGGAAAGGCATATATCTATATCTATCCGGTAAATATGCATTTAAAGGTATGAATGAGACTGGATATCTTTACAATACAAGAGATGTATTTGACCGGTTTCAATTACGTCTTCATCAGAAATACATGGATACGGTTCAAATATGCATTTACCTATCAATCCATTCGGTAGATATGCATGTCACGATTGACTTTATGTATTATTTTGTATATATGCATGTCTGTATGATCAATTTAATTAGGTCGAGCCTCGCCACTTTGAACAAACCGGCCGCGTGTGCAGCCCGCAACGAGAGGTGACCATCTATAGCTGTTTTAGGCGAGGCAATGTGCCATTCTACATATATCCACATATCTGTCTAACTGTATATATAGCTGTCTGTTTAACTAACTATTACTATCTGTCTATGTACCTAAATCTTTATCTGTTACCTACCATGTCTATACCTATCTGCTTATTTACCTCTATCTATAACTACCTGTCTATCTACCAAAATCTATAAGTACCTGTCTGTCTACCTGGATCTTTAGCTATCTGTCTATCTCCCGAAGATATTTCTTCATGATCATTAATATGTTATTATAAACTAATATTGAATTATTCAAACGTTTTATGA